CCCCAAAACCCCAAAACCCCAAAACCCCAAAACCCCAAAACCCCAAAACCCCTCTTGTCTAAATAATATTGAAAATAATTTTTAACTCATAATGATGAACAGAAGAAGTCTCAGTTGCCCACTAGCTGAGGGAGGGGGAAATACCAGTTCTATTAGGAAGGACTATTATAGATCTAAAGCAGCTCAAACTAATAGGCTTTAACTTTCCTATCCACAAAATCGATATACGAACTCTAAAAATGCTGAACAATGCTCGAAAGATGAGAAACCAGAAGGTAAAGGAGAAAAAGAAGACTTTCTGAAAACCCATATTCAAAAAGACTCACATAACTCAAAAGAGGTCAATGACAAACCCTAATTCAGCCCAGGTTTCTCCTTCCAAATTCCACATAAAAATTGAGGATACTAAAAGTAAGCTTGCGCATAAAACACAATACCATTAGCGTTTATTCATTAGCTTATCGTTCCTTCTTGAGTGATACCACCTCAGTGGCTCCACTGTTTGGGGCAATCAGATTTATAAGAGAGTTTAGAGTGATAGAGGTATGACCTAGCTTTAGTCATTGGCGTCTAGTTATGACAAATGGGAAAGATGGATGGGTCAGAGATCTTATTTACAGAACATTATAGATATCTTTAGCATATTTTTGGAAAAGTTTGTCTTTCAATTTTCTTCTTGAATTTTAGAGATTTAGTCTTCCTTGCTCTCATTGTAAAATTCACCTAACATCTTGAATTATTTATAAGTTATTCCATTTGCTTTTCAAAGAAAAATTTTAAGTGACAAGCAAGTATAAGTTTTACTTGTTTGCAGGAGTTCTTCATTTAAAAGTTTAGATAATGTTGGAACTTGGCAAAGTTAGCAAATATTACAACTTATCTCGCATTTAGACTCTGACGATGGTAAAGACTTTTTTGAGATTAAGAAGACCTGAATTCCTCAGAGTACAAAGATAATACAGGAGATCGACACAAAATTTACCCCTAAAGCAGTGAGGCTCTCCCAATTAAGACCTGATAGTGGTATGATATTGAGATAAGTAATTTTTAGAGTCTCATTACCAAGAAGGCAGCCAAAATTCATATCTCAATATGCCTCTTACGATGAGAATGAGCACTGGTGCGAAGAGCTTAGGCAAGGAAAAAATGTTTCCGACCCTTACAATCACCGGCCCAACACCTTTGACAGAAACCTCAAAGAAGCTACAAAGTAGGTTTAAACATTAATATTAAAGGTAAAATTTCGTTAAAAAGATTCAAAAGCCTAAAGCAGAAGCCATTTTGCAGAAAATTTCTGAATACTCGAATTAAGGGCAAATGAGATAGACTTGGAATTGACAAATGAGAAATAAACAAAGATCTGATGGACAAGTTTTTGAATAATATGGTTGAGAACATTTTCATAAGGAGCAAACAGAAAAAGAAAGAGTTGAATAAAGATGGATTGAAATTATAATTTAATTTCACAATTTTCAATTATTGCATTGTCCTAAGGGGTTTTGGGGTTTTGGGGTTTTGGGGTTTTGGGGTTTTGGGGTTTTGGGG